GAATTCAACAAATTCAAGCTCTTGTCCTACAAGTTTGAAGTTCTACCCCGTCAAGCTCAACGTGGCTTCGAGACAAGCCCCAGATGCCTCCCAGAAATTCCGCGGGGCTCCTGCGATTCTCCTGGATGGCCTTAGTCCCCCAAGAGAAGCCCAGATGGCCCCCTCCCAGAACTTGCCCCAGCGCGGCTCCACGACGCCCCCAGGCGGCGTTCAATTCTTCTAAATGGGACCCAGCAGGCCTAACAGGGGGCCGCGGAATTCCCCCTAAGAGGCCACAATAAAGCCCCGAATCGCCCAAGCAATCACCAGGAGCCTACCTAACTATAAATTGGGGGGGAGGGATGGGTGCAACTTTTGGTTTGGTTGATGTCGGATGAGATCCGCGGTAAATATACCAAACGACCTCGATATCACGATATCGATCTGCCTATCTATCGGTCTCACTATCTTTGCATCGGCCCCACGTCTTGCTATCAAACTATCCATTGGTGCGGGGCAACAGAGTAACAACCACGGACGACCATGGAACAGTCACAGGACAACCACGGAACAACCATGGGACAACCACACATCAACCACGAAGCACCGATCTAAGTACCGATCTGGCTATCAATCTAATGATGGATATCACGACCTACCGGTCTCACACATTATCCTTCGATCTCATTTTCAATATGGCAATCGGACTCCCAATCGCCCGACCTCGTAATCTAACCACCAATATGACTATCGACATATCTATGGGAATCGCTATGTTGACCGATCGGCCCATATACGTGAATCTATATATATATATATAATACACGGGGCAACCGCAGGACAACTGTGGGACACCCACAAGATAACCACGGGACAACCACGCGACAACAACGGACAACCACGGGACAACCACAGGACGACCACGGGACAACCACGGAACAAACCACAGGACAACCACGAGACAACGACAGGACAATCACGGAACGACCACGGAACAACCGCAAGACAACAGCGGGGCAACCGTGGGGACAACCATAGAACAACGGTGGGACAACCACGGGGCAACCACAGGACACTTATGGGCCAACCACGGGACTGCCATGGGACAACCACGGGACAACCACCGAACAACCACGGGATAAACAAAGGACAACCACGAGACAACAGCGGGACAACCACGAAACAACCAGGGGACATCCACGGGACAATCATGGGAGAGCCGCGAGACAAGCGCAGGTCAACCACAGGAGAACCGCGGGACAACCGCGGGACAACCCCGCGCACACCCCGGGCGGAGCCGAGCCGACGACTCCCATGTTGGCCCGACATGGCCCTAGCTGGTGCAGGCACTCGAGCAACTTCGCCTCGCCCGCGCGCTAGACCCGAAACCGACTTCCCGCCTGGGGAACCGGAGCTCCGAGGACCCCGGGGGGCAGTGGATATGGCAATTGTATGTTTGGGGGCCCGGATATGTCCACATCAGGGAGGGGAGGGGGGGAACTTCGGCTTGTGCATCGCCGACAGATGGGCGACAAGCCCTCGAGAATCAGCGAGACCACACGTTCGTGGGGCGGGGGGGGGGGGCACCCAGGCAGCCATTGGCGATGAATGGGCGATTGGGGGTCGAGGCCTCTCCTGGGCAAGCTCCGGACCAGAAACCGTCTACGTGTCGCTCGGTCGCACCCACCCACCCCAAGAGCATCCGACCGGCTGCAGGATCCTGAGCGCGCGTGCCGCTTGCCTGCATGATGTGCCCGTTGCTGGTGCTCCAGACGCCTCCATCGCGCCTTGCTCAAGAGGGGGGCGATACATTGGGCTGAAAGACAGGTGCACCTTTCGTGCACTTTCGGGCCCCCATTTAGGGCTCCTTTATGGCACCTTTCCTGCAAGCTTCGGTCCCCATCCCCTTTTGCCTCCGCCCCCCGTCAGGGAACGCCCGACTCCAGAAGCCTCGAAAGGCCTCCAGGGATTCAGACATCTTGCGGATCGATCTTCAAAGCGCGGTTCCCTCTGTTTGGGCACCTATCTGTTCGGGCATCTTATCTTTGGGAGGGGGGCCATCTTCGGATGCCGCCAGGCCGTCAGAGAAACGACATGGGGCGAACAAAACAACCCCAGAGAAGGGCCGAACAACCACAACTGGGGGAGCCGTGTTCCCTGTCCTGCTGGGGGGCCTATCGCATCGACGATGATCTCTCAAGAGTAGTGTCGAAGCCACAGGGGCTGCCAGCCACCTGGGCCTCCTGGGCCACCCCGTCGGGGTAAAGGCCACAGCTCCCCCAATTGTGGCTGGCCTGACGGTGTTGGAGATTCTTCCCTGAGACCAAACGTTGGGGAAACACTGCACCATCGTGAACAAAATCCCAACCGGAGCCCTCGGCCCGATCTTTCCGGAGCAGTTCTCGAGCCGGATTGATATCTGAGTGTATCGGGGTCCCAAGGGAAAACACCTGGTGCGAAACAAATGCGACGCCCAGATCTCAGGGATGGTGCCCACAGAATGTAAGCTTCGGGGATCGCGGGATCGTGGGCAGTCGCAACGCACCACCCAGTGGCGATCGTGGGGATCGCGGGATCGTGGCCATATTAGTTGGAGGCCAAGGGGCTGCCTCCACCGACGTTATCCTGGATTTTGGCGCTTGTGGTAATCCCGCGGCCACCTAAGAAGCCCGAATCCCACCAGCCCTTTAGTGCGTAGGCGGTTTAGCGCGTTTCCACTTCCACCTTCTTTCTCCCCTTCGGAGAGGGTGTTCCCCCCCCCGGGCCTGGAGGGGGGAGCAGCGAGGTGTCAGAGGGCGATTTGGGCTCAAGATGGCTCCAAGAGGGCCTCCGAGAGCCCAAGATGACCTCCAAGACGGCCCAAGATAGTGCAAGATCGCTCAAGATGGCTTCCAACATGCTCCAAGGGACCCCAGGACCAGTCCAAGACGGGTCCAAGTGGCCTTGGAGCCTCCAAAGGAGGCCCCCAAGAGGAAAGCTCCCTGCAAAAGCCTGAAGGAAATCAATATGATTGGCCTTCTCGCATTTATGCTTCCGATGGGCCCCGAGGCCTCAAGATGGCTCCAAGAGGGCCCCAAGAAGGCTCAAAGAGCTGCCAAGTTGGCCCCAAGAGAGCCCACGAGCGCCGCAAGAGCGCCGCAAGAGCTCCCCACGAGGGCCCCAAGAGGAGACCTTGGAGCTCTAGGGGGGGGAAACTGATCAAGTGCCCACCCTATTTGATCAACGAAAACATCGAACACACACCACACACACACACACAGACACACACACACAGACACACACACAGACACACACACCACACACAGACACACACAGACACACACACAGACACACACACACAGACACACACACAGACACACACACAGACACACACACAGACACACACACACAGACACACACACAGACACACACACAGACACACACACAGACACACACAGACACACACACAGACACACACAGACACACACAGACACACACAGACACACACAGACACACACACAGACACACACAGACACACACACAGACAACACACAGACACACACAGACAACACACAGACACACACACAGACACACACAGACACACACAGACACACACAGACACACACAGACACACACAGACACACACACAGACACACACACAACACACACACAGACACACACACAGACACACACAGACACACACACAGACACAGACAACACACAGACACCACACAGACACACACACACAGACAATACACAGACAAGACACAGACAAGACACAGACAAGACACACACAAGACACACACAAGACACACACAAGACACACACAAGACACACACACACACAAAACACACACAAGACACACAAAACACACGCAAGACACACACAAGACACACACACAAGACACACACACAAGACACACACAAGACACACGCAAGGCACACACAAGACACACACAAGACACACACACACACAGAGACACACACAGAGACACACAAGACACACACAAGACACACACACACACAAGACACACACAATACACACAAGACACACACAAGACACAGACAATACACACAAGACACACACACAAGACACACACAAGTCACACACAAGACACACACACACACACAAGACACACACACAAAACACACACAAGACACACACACACAGACACACACAGACACAACACAGACACACACACAGACACACACACAGACACACACACAGACACACACACAGACACACACACACAGACACACACACAGACACACACACACAGACACACACACACAGACACACACAGACACACACACACACAGACACACACTCAGACACACACACACAGACACACACACACACACACGCAGACACACACACAGACACACACACAGACACACACACACAGACACACACACAGACACACACACACACACTCACACACTCACTTACTCACACACTCACACACTCACACACTCACACACTCACACACTCACACACTCACACACTCACACACTCACACACACACGTCGGCCGATCCTGGCCAGGCAGATGCCGCGCCCAGGGGTGCTGCGCACGCCTCCCTGGCCAAGCCCTGCGGGCCTGACGCACTGATCGGAGCGACCGAGGGCCGGACCCCATCCCAGGGTACGTTTTCTTTCATCGCGAGTCGTTTCTTTTGACGGTCCTGGGGCCTGGCCGGTCGGTGCCCCCAGGCGCCGAAGACTGCTGAACGTATTCATCGTGATGGTTCCATGTCGCGATGAGGTCTGCCAGCGGCGCGCCCAGGGGAGGCTGGCACAAGGGGCGGGCCTTCTCGATTCTTACGCACTCGGTCCAGAGGATTCACTCATCGCGTCTGGATGCGATGCGTTGCGGGTTATCAAAAAGGAGAGGCGGGCTTTCTCAGAAGGCTCAGGAGGCCTCTGGACACCTCAGAAGCTGTCTGAGCCTCCTCCCAGGCCACGTCTGAGAAGTCCTGCCGCCTTCTCAGAAGGCCTGCCCACTCTCACTTCCCCCTCGGCGTGCCGCCGATTCATGTCGCGATGAGGTCTGGGCCTGTCTCTCACAGGACGCTGCGCTTCAGCCGAAGCGTCGCCGACGACGGCCGCTACGCGGCCAGGGTCAGCTGCCAGTTCGACGAGGCCCTGGACCTGCCGGTGCCCGCGTCGGGCAGCCCGTGCTGGCTGGCCGTGGATGCGTGGCTGGAGAGGCGGACCTCCTCGATCCGCATCGACATACGATCCTCCTCGATTCCAGCTGCTCCTCAATTCTCCTCGATGCTCCTCCATCGATCCTCTTCGATGCTCCTCGTCCCTCCTCGATACTCTTCGGGGCGGCGCGCTTCCGGTTTTCCGGGTCTGGGGCCGCCGTCGGCGGCCTTCATCGGCCTTGATATCACTGGACTGGGGTCTGGAGCGCCCCAGACGGTATTGGGCTGCTGTCCAGCACCGAGGAGCGGCGGATGCTGTTTGGCTTCAGGCTGTGCAGGCCGAGAGCGGCTTAGTCATGGGTGAATCTTCGTGGAGCGCTTGCTGCGACCTGAAGAATTTCTACGACAGCATATACTGGGCCAGGCTCGAGGCGCGATGCCCGAGTCACGGTTTCCCGCTTGCCGTTGCGTGTCTTGTCTCTCCACCTAGCGGTGCTGCCGCTTCCTTCGTTTACGAGGCTGGCTGATTGGAAGACCCGTACTTTTGCCTAGACGGCTGCTTGATGGCCACCACGTGTATTCGGGTGTTCTGTCTTGAAGGGTACGACAGCTTCTCGGAGGTCCCCAGGTTGGGCCTTGACGTTTGCATGGATGATCCGGGCCTTCCGTGTGTTGGCTCCCCCTCCCAGGTGTGCTCCACGATCCAGGATCACTCATTGTCGAGCGCGAGTTCGCTTGCTCTTTTGCCCTGGATGAGACCGCTGTGTTTGCAAGCTCGACGGCCGTATTGGCTCAAGTTGTCAATGAGCTCTCGAATCTTGGGGATCAGTTCTCTGACTCGGTGGTCAGCTTAAGTGCGGATTACGCGGCGTGGCGATATGTTCAAGTAGCCTGGCGCAAGCGAAGAATTGTGGAGGCTTGCAAAGCTGCAGGACCGCTCAATCTACGACGAATGTCTTGGCGTTATCAACTTTCTTTTTTACACGCGCGATCAAGATCTTCGTTCGCTCAGGCTCAAGGTGTCGGCTCATCTCTTTGACGTCCGCTGGCATCCTGGACAGCGGTCCTACCCGGAGGACGGTCACGGTGCCGATCATTCGCTGAAGCAAGGAGGTCTGGGTCGACTATGCTAATCCTTTCAAGTGGGCTCTGAGGCTGCCACTCCTGCGTTGTGCCTCGTTTTCATTTTTTCCAGGCATTCCTGCTCGCGGCCCTCTGTGGTTGACCCCGTGTCGGCCCTTCGGGTGCCTCTCGTTCGCCCTGGCTGGAAGATTGACGGTCTTATGACACGCAAAGACGACAAAGGGCAGACGACCCCTTTCGGCATTTTTTCCTCCCCTGTGACAGCTCTGCTTCGGGACGACTGCTGTCGCATGTTGGAAAAGGGGGTCTGACTAGAAACGTGGCGTCCAGCCTCGCATCCTCTATGATGTGATCAATGGAGCTCTGACCAACAACGAACACAAGCCTCTAGAAGGCTAGGATCCGAGCTTTCGCTACTTCTTCACGGGCTGCTGGGCCCGTGAGCGCGGTCTGCCCCGTTCTGCGGCTGCGAGGATACGGTCTTTCACCGGCTGTAGGGGTGTCCGCATCCGTTTGTAGTCGAGGCTCAGTCTCCGCTTCTCGAGTCATACATTGTCGAGTCCGCGCTTGAAGATAAGGCCTCGGCTCCAACGATGACCCCATCATTCTTGTTTCTTGAGCCCTTCGGCATCCTGCCCTGCCGACTCGTATCTCCGTACCCTCACGGGAGCAGGCGCTGATCCTGTTCTTGTCTGGCACACTGCTTCCGCAGCCCCTTCCCTGACAGGTGTGATCCAGGCACGGGTCTCCAGGGCGCTGTGTGTGTTGCCAGGCTTTGCTCCCGTCGTGTTGTGCGAGCGCCCCGTGTGCGGCCAGCTGCGCCCGAAGGATCGATCCGCCTGGGGAGTCGGTGTTGGAGTCTGGGGACCCATTCCGGTACCCTCCCCCGCAGACCTCCCCGGCCCACCTGGTGCAGTCAGCCCGCACAGTAAGGATGAGCGACTTTCCAATGTTGCCCTCTCATCCTCCCCCCTCGGGCCATCCTTGGCCGCTCTCGCTGGCCGCGCCCGGCTCGCAAAGTGTCGACATGGCCCTCCAAGAGCCTTGCATCCTTATCTTGCGTCCTTCTGATACGGGTTGACTTTAATGATTTCGGTTGTTTTACATTGGTGAATGTGATTTATCGGCGTCCTGCTCCCCTCCCAGGTCTGCTCCCTCCGAGCCGAGGGTAACAGCGTGGTGGAGCAGCCGGCTTGTAGGTCGAAGGTGGAGCAGATCTTACCTAAGCGTATGTACTCGGGCGTGTTCTTGCAGTGCCGTGCTCAGCAGCCAAGGGCCACCTCAATTTGCAAAGGTCGCTGCCCATCGAGACCTGAAGGAGATGGGGATCGCCGCTCACGAGATGTGGCTTCGCCTCGGTAATCTCCACGCCGGCGTCGGCGCAAAGCACGCCGTTCTCTCCACCCAGCTGGCCCTGTTGAGCTTGAGGGGGTGGACAAGTCTACTGTCGGGCCGCTGAAGAAGGAACCCGTTTCGTTGGGGAGGGGCTCAGTGTTCCTGAATTGATTTTACAGGTTGTCTTAGGCTTTTTCTCGGTTTTCAATGGAAGGGACCGTTCCTTATATAGAGTTCCTTGTGACAGCGGCCCGACTGTACATCTGGGCGACGAAATCTATGAAACATCTATACATATTCACTGCCCCCTGGTCGGGCCTCTCCCGGGCCTAGGAGCTGTGCATAAGCCCTACTGGCCAAGCCAGGCGGGCGTGGCGCTCTACACCGCTGCTTGGTTCAGGATTTGCCTGCCCAGGGAGCTCTGGATATGTACAGATTTTGTCGCCCCGTGTTTGTCGTGCGCGAGTCATGTGAGATATTGCGGTAATGTCTTGCAGGCCGGAACGTGGTTCCCACGCGAGGCGGGGTTTTACGGTTTGTCTCTTCGGGGGGAAGCGGGGTTCGTCTATGCGGGGCCCACACATGGACACCACCACCGCCTCCCTCGCCCCCGCCTTCTCGCAGAAGGAGGGGAGGAAGAGGAGGAAGAGGAGGCTAGAGGGGGATGACTTGGCACCCGCAGTCTAGGCCTCCTCCAGGCCGTTGCCCGCAATATTCCAAGCTTCACGCCTCCAAGCTCGACGCCCTCAGTCATCGGACCATTGAGTTGGACTGCTCGGACGGCTCAGATTTTTTGGATTGCACGCTGAACAAGTGCCACGCGATCGGGGGTTCTGTCAGAGACCTCGCCAGCAGGTGTGTCGTGCCGCCGTTTCTTGTTGCGCACAACGGTGAAGGAAGCTATGTAAAGGCATGTGCCCCAGGTCAGGGTATCGCAAGCAGCGCGAGAATCTTGCTGTAGAGACTATAGGTTACAATGCTTCATCACTTAATCTGCGGCCTCGCCAAAGGGGTTGAAGCTGCCGCAGAGGCCACGGTTTCCTTTGCTGTGGCGCTCTGATGCCTGCCGCCCTGGGCAGGGCATTTGGAGGCGCTCGGCCGTGGAGTCCCGGAAGTCTTCGGTCCTCTTCGGCTACCTCGGATCCTCTTCGATCCTCTTCGGTCCCCCTGGGTCCTCTTCGGTCCTCTTCGGTCCTCTTCGGTCTCCTGCCATCCTTTTTGGTCCTCATCGGTCCTCTCGATCCTCCTCGCGCCTCCTCGCCCTCCTCGACCCTCCTCGATGGCTCCTTGCCTCCCCGTGCGTGGCGAGAGGAGGCGAGGCCCCCACCGGCGGGGCGCGCGCGAAGAGGCTACTCGCGCTTGTCGCGCGTCGCGGCCTGGGCAGGAGGAGCTGTCTCTGTCTCTGTCTCTCTCTCTCTCTGTCTCTCTCTCTCTCTCTCTCTCTCTCTCCAGCGCGGCCGCACGTCGCGCTTTTCGCGGGGGCGCGACGCGCGAAGGCAGGTGACCTACCCAGGGATCCGATGTCCAGGATGACCCACCCAGGGACCTCCTGCTCCTCCTCCTCCTCCTCCTCTTCCTCGTTGTCCTCCTCCTCCCCCTCCCCCTCCCCCTCCTCCCCCTCCTCCCCCTCCCCTCCTCCTCCTCCTCCTCCTCCTCCTCCTCCTCCTCCTCCTCCTCCTCCTCCTCCTCCTCCTCCTCCTCCTCCTCCTACCGTGCAAGGATACCTTCCCAGGGATCCGATATCTTGATTGTAGACGTTTCTCGCATCCCCACCAGCGCATCCAGAAGCGACGCCCTGGCGAATTGCCTGTTGGCATGGGCGTGTAGGAGCATGCAGTGGGACAAAAAGGTGGGGCATCCGTTAAACGGGAACTCGGGGTGAGCCTGAGCAGGCCCAAGAGTCAGCCAGGCCGCCTTCGCGGATCTGTCGCTGTGGGAGCATCTTGGCAGCTTGCCTGCGCCATCTCGGAGCTTCCTTGGACCAATCCCGGAGGCCTTTTGGGGCTTTCTGGATGCCCTCTTGGGGCTCTCCTGGGGTTCTTTTGGGAGCCTTGCGGGCCCATCTTGGAGACAATCGATCACATCAGGTGGGGTTCTCAGTTCGCCTTGACCCTGTGGAGCCCGAAAAGTCGCCCGTGGGGGCCCTCTTGGTGCGCTCTTGTGGCGCTCTCGGGCGTTCTTGTGGCCGTCTTGGAGCCCTCTCCTTGGGCTCTCTTGGGCCATCTTGGAGCCGTCCTGAGGCCGCAGACGCCCATCGGAAACGAACAAGCGCGAAGGCCGATATCATTTGTTTTTCCTGGGTGGGTGGGAGGGAAGAGTTTGGCATCTCGAGGGCTTCCCTGGGAGGCTCCGTGGCCACTTGAGGCCGTCTTGGGGCGGTCTTGGGGCCTTTTGGAGCACATTGGAAGCCATACGGCTGGCACTTTCATCTTCCATCTTGGAGGTCATCTTGGGCTTTCTGGGACCATCTTGAAGCTATCTTGGACCATCTTGGACGCATTTTCCGTTCGCGACCTCTCTCCGTCTAGACCCAGGGATAGGAGTTAGGGGGAGGGGCCAAGCTACCCACAAACAGCAAGCCGTCTCGCTCACTCCCATCCGCCTTCCCAACAGAGAAGTAGCACACGAATCTCAGCACATTCAACAACAGATCTTCAGCGGTTGCCAGTGGATGGACAGCTACTGGGAACCAATACGGACCCCAAGTTCGCGACGGTGGCGAGGCGCGCCGCGAGTGCCAGGCGGGCCACGCGTGCCAGGTGCGCCAGGCGCCCCTGGGACCCAAGCGTGGCAGGCGAGCCCAGGGCGCAAGGTGCGCCACGTGCTCCGCCAGGTGAGCCATGTGCTCCAGCCGCGCCCAGTGTGCCATGGTGCGCGACGCGCGCAGAGTGTGGCAGGTGCGCAATTGCACGTGCCAGCATGCATTACGTCGGGCGTGTCCCTCTACAGGAGGAATATTCAAGAATAGCCAGAAAAATGCTCAGGGGACTATTTTTCTAATTATTTTTGCCTATTTGGGGGCATTCTTTGCGTATTTTGAATTTTTCGTCCAAAATCCGCCTGTAGGGAGAAGGAGGAGGAGGAGGAGGAGGAGGAGGAGGAGGAGGAGGAGGGAGGAGGAGGAGGAGAGGAGGAGGAGGAGGAGGAGGAGGAGGAGGAGGAGGAGGAGGAGGAGGAGGAGGAGGAGGAGGAGGAGGAGGAAGGAGGAGGAGGGAGGAGGAGGAGGAGGAGGAGGAGGAGGAGGAGGAGGAGGAGGAGGAGGAGGAGGAGGAGGAGGAGGAGGAGGAGGAGGAGGAGGAGGAGGAGGAGGAGGAGGAGGAGGAGGAGGAGGAGGAGGAGGAGGAGGAGGAGGAGCGCGCGAGTTCGGTCTGGCGGGACCGGCCCTCATTGGGCGGCGCGGGGGGGCCGGAGCCCTTAGGAGACGTGCGGGGGGCAGGAGTCGCAGCCGGCTCCGGAGTCGGCTCCGGCTCCGTTAGGGGGATACGCCCGACCTAAAGCACGCATCAGGAGACACGCCGACCCCCCCTCAAAATCCAATGCAACATGGCGGCGGGGCGGGAATCATGGTGTAAGGTATGTGCGCCGCAATCACTGTGCATCGTTTTTGACAGGGATGGTGGGCCTGCGCGCATCTGGGAATTATGCTGACCCCCCTGCCGTCCGTGTCAGCAAGCACTACAAAGTTATTGCGGGGTGTGGCAGCGTGGTCCAAGATTTTGCGGCAGAGTGCATGTTGTATTGTTCTCTGACAAGGATGTGGGGGTTGTCGACAGTGGACCTGGTTAAGGCCCAAACGAGTGGGGGACGTGTTTTTTTTTTTTTTTTTTTTTTTTTTTTTTTTGTTGTTGTTGTTGTTGTTGTTGTTGTTGTTGTTGTTGTTGTGGTTGTTGTTGTTGTTGTTGTTGTTGTTGTTGTTGTTGTTGTTTGTTGTTGTTGTTGTTGAACATTATTAATTCTAAAGAATAATTATTGTTGGGACCCCTGGTGCACGCCCCCCCCGCCGCGCCTAGGCCGCAGCCACGTTTTCATCATTTTCGTGAGGAAGCCTCAGGCAAAACGGGTTGGTCCAGATCCGGTTGTTTTGTTGTCCCCCGCTTTCCCTTGCAACAAACACTATAAAATGAATTTCTTGTTCTAACATATCCAAACTTCAAGAATCCCTTGCACAAAATAAGGTAAAGTGGACATTCGCGCGCGCAAGACGAAATCCTTCCAAAACCTTAGTTTTCGTAACGCGATTTTAACATAAAAACATCAAAAAACCAATGGTTTTTCAAACAAAAATGTCAAAATTTCATCCCGCGCGCTCTTGCGGATTCGTAGGAAATCCAACACTTTTTAAACATTTCTGTCAAACGGGCTTTTGCTAGCAACTTTTTCGAACTTCTGCCACAACGGTTGCGCACCTGCCAGGGCCATCATCCCTGTCAAATAATACCATGCGGGACACATTCGTTTTTTCTTCGCGCGCGCACGCCGTCGTCGTCGGCCGCGGGGCCCTGAATAGTAGCCACGGTCGTCCGCATGCCACGAAGTGAAGTGTCCGAACGTCATAGGGCGGGAAGCTGGGTGTGGGTGGTGGCGAAGAGTCGTTTGGAAATTTGGTAGAGCTTGAACCGGCCCCCCCACAAAGTGGGGGTATTGCCCGCCTCCTATGAAAACCCTGGCACTGGTGAGAACGGAGTGTCCCCACGTGCTAGTAATTGTTGTTGTTGTTGTTGTCGTTGTTATCGTTGTTGTTGTTGTTGCTGTTGTTGCTGTTGTTGTTGTTGTTGTTGTTGTTGTTGCTGCTGCTGTTGTTGTTGTTGTTGTTGTTGTTGTTGTTGTTTCCCCCCCCCCTAAAAGCGCACTGACCCCCCCGAAGTGTAATAATGAGGGTTGTAAGAGGGGCGTGAGGACACCTCGGCCCAGACTGGTTTTGATTTTCTTGGATGCGGGGCCTCTGGAAGTCCCGACCAGGCCTGGTCTTTCGTGAGCAGGTCCGTTGACGGTTCCCAGGGCCAGGCGAGGGCCCCCCAGAGGCCGAAAACTGGCACAAAGCTTCCTTCGTGAGTTTTTGGCGACGCCAGCATGTCTGGACCAACAACACACACCCATACCCATAGAGGGGTCGGAGAGGGCTATGGGTGCGGGTTGTCGGATGGGGTCCCCGCTCGAACGGGAGCGTTCCCCAGGGTCCGACAACCCGCACCCATACCCATAGCCAGTCCCCCTCCCAACAACCCCCCATATGGGCATGGGTGTGTGTGATTCGTTCGTCAAGGTGCGCCACGGGGCTGCCTCACTTCGCGTGCGCCGCCCCGCAGAGAAAGAGAACTTCGCGTGCCGCGCCCCGCGTCGCGCGGTCGCCTGCGCGCCCTCGCGCCGCTCTTCCCTGGAGGAAGGGCGGCTCCCCGTGGCCGAAGACGGCGAACGACTTTTTGTGCACATTGTTCATTTGCAATTCTTCGAAAGTCCTTTGATTTTTTTGGGGGCCAAGATCCTTTCATTTCTAATTTTTCCTTCCTGGGCCTCTTCCTGGCCACTAGGGGGCCAGGAACAATCAGAAACGAGCACAATTAGAAATGAGCACGATTAGAAATGAACGACGTGTATCGCCTTTCCGATGTACTGGGCCCGGAAGTCCCGGTCCTTTCCCCAGGCCTGGTCTTTCGTCCTGAGCAGACTTGTGACGGTCCCGGGGGCCCAGCGAGGGCTCCCCGTTGCCGAAAAGGAGCGCGACGAATTGTTGCATCGCTCTTTTCCACGCGTTGGGCTGGAGGTCTGGGCGGACGGCGGGGCCGTGGCCGAAATCGGCGACAATAGCCTTGGCATCGCTTTTCCCGATGCGTTGGAGCGGAGGTCTAGGTGGCAGAGGCGGGCCGCGGCCGAAGACGGCGGCAGAAACCTTGGCATCGCTTTTCCCGATGCGTTGGACGGCAGGCCTGGGTGGCAGAGGCGGACCGTGGCCGAACATGCGTTGGAGTGGATGTCTGGGCGGGAGAATCCGCCACACAAGCACGTGTTTACATATATATGTTTTATTATATGTATATGTAGGTATGTCTTCATGTATACCTATATATCTATACATATATATAGATATATAGGTATACATGTATGTATGTATGCATGCATGTATGTATGCATGTATGCATGTATGTATGCATAGATATATGTATGCATGCATGTACGCATGTATGTATATATATGTCCGTATGCATGTATGTATGTATGTATGCACGCAGGCATGCATATACACATGTATGTATGCATGTATGGATGTATGCATGTATGTATGTTTGTATGTCTGCATGTATGCATATACGTAAGCATGCATGCATGTATTTATGTATGTATGCATGCAATATGTATGTATGTATATGTATGCATGCATGTATGTATGTATGTATGTACGTATTCATGTAGGTATGTATGCATGTATGTATGTATGCATGTATGTCTGTATGCATGTATGTATGTATGCATGATTGTATGCGTCTATGTATGTATGTATGTGTGCATTCATGTATGTATGTATGTATGTATGTATGTACGGGTGTATGTATGTATGCATGCATGCATTCATGTATGTATGTATGTATGCGTGTATATATGAATGCATGCATGCATGCATGTATGCATGCATGTATGCATGCATGCACGTAAGTTTGTATGCACGCATGTATATATCTATATATGTATGTATGTATGTACGTATGTATGTATGCATGTATGCATGTATGTATGTATGTAGGTATCCAGGTATGTACGTACGTATGTATGTCTGTATGTATGTATGCATGTATGTATATATATATATATATGTGTGTTTGTATGTGTGTATGTATGCATGTATGCATGCATGCATGCATGTATGTATATATATACATGTATGTATATGTATATGTATGTATTGATGCATGTGTGTATGTATGTATGCATGCATGTATGTACATATGTATGTATGTAGGTACGTATGTATGTATGTATGTATGTATGCATGCATGCATGCATGTATGTATGTATGTATGTAGGTATGTATGTATATACGTGCGTACGTATGTATGTATGTATGTATGTATGTATGTATGTATGTATGTAGGTATGTATGTATGCATGCATCCATGCATGCATGCATGCATGTATGCCTGTATGTATGTATGTATGCATGCATGCATGCATGCATGCATGCATGTATGCATGCATGCATGCATGTATGCATGGATGTATGTATGTATGTATGTATGTATGTATGTATGTATGTATGTATGTATGTATGTGTGTATAACTGTATCTATGTATATACGCAGCCACCCTCCGTTGGATTGTTCCTGGGCCTCAGGGGAGGGTGGCGGTGTATAAATCACCACAGAGAGCCAGCGGCGATATAGCCCGCCGCCCTCCCTGAAGGTACAGGCAGAGTTCGTCGGAGGGTGTCCGCGTATATGTTTCCGTGGAGTAGAGAGGCGGACCGTGGTGGAGCGGCTCGACAGCCTGCTGGACGCCGTCGGGCTCGGCAGCAGTCTGCCCTCCTGGGAGCGCGCGTGGCTTGGGCGCGCCGTGGGGCCGCTGCCGGAGGACGGCGTCGACAGCCTCCACGCGCCCTGGGCCGTGGCCCCTGCCAGTCGGGGGCTTCCAGAGGTTGCCCTGGCCTCTCTCCCGTAGATCCCCAGCGATCTCCATCGCCTTGGCAGCCCTGATAAAAGATCTACGACGGAGGTTGCGCGCCGTTTTCCGAGTCTGGGGGCCCTCGCCGAGCCCTGGGACCGTCGAATAACGATCCGGGATGAAAAACCGGCTCCCGGGAAGTGGTCCATGGCTCCAAGGACCCTGAGGTCCCCAGGTCTCCGAGGATCGTTTTTTTCCCAACCCTCCTGTGTTGGGTTCTCGATTTGAATAGAGCAGTGTGGTCTCCACCTCCTCCTCTCTTCCTCCCCTCTCCTCCCCTTCTCCTTCTCTCCTGTTGCCTGTGTTCCCCTCTCCTCTTCTCTCGTGCCGTCGGACTGCGATCTGCGCAACTGTCGCCACTTTCGTGAGCTCCTGGGAGGCCCAGCGGAGGTACGTCATACGCGGATCACCATGGGACCTTGCCGCCCCTGGGGGGCTGCGATCTGCGCATCTGTCGCCATTTTCGTGGGCTCCTGGGAGGCCCAGCGAGGGTACGTCATACGCGGATCACCACATGACCTCGCCGCCCCCTGGGGGGCTGCGATCTGCGCAACCGTCGCCACTTTCGTGGGCTCCTGGGAGGCCCAGCGGAGGTGCGTCATAAACGGATCACCACGGAGCCTCGCCGCCCCCTGGGGGGCTGCGATCTGCGCAACCGTCGCCACTTTCGTGGGCTCCTGGGAGGCCCAGCGGAGGTGCGTCATACGCGGATCACCACGGGACTTCTTGCTGCGCTCTTCTGAACTCACTGCTGGGTGCTCTTCTTGAGCACTGCGGGTCCTTTAGAATGCCAGTCAGCATTGAGTGGTCCTGAGTATAATCGCCACATGTATAGAAAGGGTTGGTTACGCCACAGGGTAATTTCAATCCAGGCTTCTGTAATCGAATTAGCCTCCAGGGCCAGTTTTGGGCCTCAGGGCCATCGAGAATGGACCTGGGAAGCGAGGCTGTCCCCGGGGAAGGGGTCGCGTATTCTTGGGGCCGCGCAGTAAAAAGAAGTATGGGAGGATTTCCGGGGACTCGACGTCGCGTAAAAATGCAGTGGGGGTGTTCGTTGAGGAATGTGCCCAGGAGGCTTCAGACCCTGGGGGATTCCTTATCTGATGAAGGTGGCGGTGATATCCATTGCAAAGCCACAGCTGGAGCTTCACCAGGTTTTCAGACCTTGGATTCCTTATCCAATGGCTCCTTATCCAATGGCTTCGCCGTGGAGTCAAGAGTCACGATCGAAACTCTCGGCCTAACTTGTCTACGGCATCTCTCGAGCCAGATCGATCTGCAAGGGCATGGGCGAGAGACCGGGCGAGAGAATGCCCAGTGCTAAAGGATTGCGACGCCCGGATATCAGAGATCGAAGGCCTTCGAAGGCCCCGTGGAGACCTGCTCGGTCCAGCTGTAGCCCTCCAGAGGAATTCCGGAGAGGAGAGCTCCAGAGAGCTCCAGAGGCCTCCGGAGGTGATCCTGGCCGAAGGTGCCCGCAGCCTCTAGCACCACTTCGCGCTCCCGGTGTTCTCTCTGGGCCTCGTGCGGGGTGCTCTGGGTGCCGCCAGCCCCCTTCCCCACCCCTGGAAAAGCTGGCGATGCTTGGTCTTTGTCGATGTGGGGCCCCTGGAAGTCCCGACCCTTTCGCTGGGGTCAGCTTCTCATCCCGAGCCGTTCTGTGAAGATCCCAGCGCCCAGCGAGGGCCCCCAGAGCCCGAGAGCGGCGGATACAACTATTCCGTTTCGTTTTTTTGCTGCCCAGGAAGCGCCAGGTCGGTGGGCCAGGGCTGCCTCTGGCAGCACCCGAGCCAGAGCAGGGTGTGCGGACGGCTGGCCGCTGCCACTACACATCTCCATCGGCACGGAGTGGGCCGAATTCGATCCCGACTGAGGCTGCCGCGCGCCCTCTGAGCTGGGCCTCGCGCAGGTTCGGCGGCGCGCACAGGGGGTGGCGCGGGGTGGCCTTCTACCCACGACGCCTACGGCGAATCACCGCCGCCCCCTGGCCCTTTGGAAGCGCCTCTGTGGCCGACAGCTGGGCCAGAGCTTGGCCGAGCTATCGGGCCAGCTGTTCCCCGAGTCGGTTTGGAATCACTTCGGGGAACGCATGGGGGAGCAAGAAGAGGAGGAGGGGGAGGATGAGGAAAAAAGAGGAGGAGGAGGAGGAGGAGGAGGAGGAGGAGGAGGAGGAGGAGGAGGAGGAGGAGGAGGAGGAGGAGGAGGAGGAGGAGGAGGAGGAGGAGGAGGAGGAGGAGGAGGAGGAGAGAGGAGGAGGAGGAGGAGGAGGAGGAGGAGGAGGAGGAGGAGGAGGAGGAGGAGGAGGAGGAGGAGGAGGAGGAGGAGGAGGAGGAGGAGGAGGAGGAGGAGGAGGAGGAGGAGGAGGAGAGAGGAGGAGGAGGAGGGGAGGAGGAGGAGGAGGAGGAGGAGGAGGAGGAGGAGGAGGAGGAGGAGGAGGAGGAGGAGGAGGAGGAGGAGGAGGAGGAGGAGGAGGAGGAGGCGGAGGAGGAGGAGGAGGAGGAGGAGGAGGAGGAGGAGGAGGAGGAGGAGGAGGAGGAGGAGGCGGAGGAGGAGGAGGAGGAGGAGGAGGAGGAGGAGGAGGAGGAGGAGGAGGAGGAGGAGGAGGAGGAGGAGGAGGAGGAGGAGGAGGAGGAGGAGGAGGAGGAGGAGGAGGAGGAGGAGGAGGAGGAGGAGGAGGAGGAGGAGAGAGGAGGAGGAGGAGGAGGAGGAGGAGGAGGAGGAGGAGGAGGAGGAGGGAGGAGGAGGAGGAGGAGGAGGAGGAGGAGGAGGAGGGAGGAGGAGGAGGAGGAGGAGGAGGAGGAGGAGGAGGAGGAGGAGGAGGAGGGAGGAGGAGGAGGAGGGAGGGAGGGAGGAGGGAGGGAGGGAGGGAGGGAGGAGGGAGGGAGGGAGGGAGGGAGGGAGGGAGGGAGGGAGGGAGGGAGGGAGGAGGAGGAGGAGGAGGAGGAGGGAGGAGGAGGAGGAGGGGAGGAGGAGGAGGAGGAGGGAGGAGGAGGAGGAGGAGGAGGAGGAGGAGGAGGATGATGATGATGATGAGGAGGAGGAGGAGGAGGCGGAGGAGGAGGAGGAGGAGGAGAGCTCCATCGCATCCAGCGAAACTCAATAAACATATTATTAAGTTCGGTACTGCCTGTTACCGCACGGCGAGTCCTAAAAAGTTACGGGGAGCCCGAGAGTCCCCCCGGGCTTGCAGCTCCCTAGCCTCCCTCGCGCGCTCCGAGAGACACCAATCTACCGCTTCCCGCGGATCAGAGAAGCCGTGCAAGGCAGCGACCCGATACATATCGAGAGGCTCTGGGGGTACCAGCCCATAGGTGGTCCCAACAGGCGCTGGCCCCGAACCAGAAGAAACTCTCAGCTTCGCGGCCCACTGCGCTCGGACTTCCAACGACGGGGTGACGACCGACTCGAGCCGTGGGGGCGACGACTGAGTTGAATTAGGATGCAGGCCTCGCCGGAGCCTGCTCCTCTGCGTGGCCAGCCCTGGATGCCGATTACCCTTGCAAGTGGTGGCCAGCCCAGAATCAGGCCTGACATTTTTCTCCACGCTGCCGCCACAACCCGTGTAAAACAGAACAGGAGGCTCACCGACGGAGCCGTGCACCGCAGCCTGAACGATCTCATGACCTTGAAAAAGCCACGGGCGCAGCACGCTGCAGCCACTCCCGGCGGCAGCCCTGGTCGCCGCCGCGGGTGCCGCGCTGGTGGCCGAGCCGGGATAAAGCTCGGGCGGGAGGGCTATGCGAGACTGGAGCTGCGACCGCTGCTCGCAATGCCTTTCCCACTCGCTGGCCTCGTCAGGGCTGAGGCTCGAAACATCCAGTTCTAGATCCAGGACGACATCGGCCGTACCGCCGACGCCGTCGGAGTCCTGGTGGCCAGACTGGTGGAGCCACTCATGGACCCTCCCCATCCACACGGCCGCGTCCTCGGCCCTGCGCTCGCAGGCCTCCACAAAAGGTTCTTGCTCCGGGGCCACATCCCAAAGCAGAGCCCCTTTCTTGGCCCACTCATCCGCGAGGCGATTGCCCCGCAGCTTCCACAAGTCTTCGAAAGACTTGGCATCCTGGACGCTCCGATGGGAGGAGGTTGAGGAGGAGGAGGAGGAGGAGGCGGAGGAGGAGGAGGAGGCGGAGGAGGCGGAGGAGGAGGAGGAGGAGGAGGAGGAGGAGAGGAGGAGGAGGAGGAGGGAGGAGGAGGAGGTGGGCGGCGGCGGCGGCGGCGGCGGCGGAGGAGGAGGAGGAGGAGGAGGAGGAGGAGGAGGAGGAGGAGGAGGAGGAGGAGGAGGATGATGATGAGGAGGAGGAGGAGGGGGAGGCGGAGGAGGAGGAGGAGGAGGAGGAGGAGGAGGAGGAGGAGGAGGAGGAGGAGGAGGAGGAGGAGGAGATGGAGATGGACATGGAGATGGAGGAGGAGGAGGAGGAGGAGGAGGAGGAGGAGGAGGAAGAGGAGGAAGAGGAGCATGGGGAGGAGGAGGAGGACGGGAGGCCTCTCGGGCGCCTCTTGGGGCACTCTGGGGCAGTTGGGTCAGCTGGGAGCAGTTGGGGCAGTTTGGGGCAGTTGGGGCAGTCTGGGGCAGTCTGCGGCAGTCTGCGGCAGTTGGGGCAGTGTGTGGCAGTTGGGGCAGTCTGGGGCAGTTGGGGCAGTGTGGGGCAGTTGGGGCAGTCTGGGGCAGTGTGGGGCAGTTGGGGCACCCTGGAGCAGTCTGGGGCAGTCTGAGACAGGGCAGTCTGGGGCAGTTGGGGCAGTGTGGGGCAGTTGGTTCAGTTGCTGGCCCAGTTGCTCCGCCCACCCTTCTCAGTTGCTCCTTCCGCCTCCGGCCCCCTCTGCGCCACTGGGGCAGTCTCAGTTGCAACTGGGGTGGTTTCAGTTGCTCCGCCAATTGCTTCCTCATACTCCTGGTCGCCTTTTGGGCCGTCTTGGAGGTCTCTTGGGGGTCTCTTGGGCCGTCTTGGGCCATCTTGAGGCTATCTTTGGCCGTGCTGGGTGCATCTTGGGCCGTCTTGGAGGCATCTTGGGGCCATCTTAGCCGTCATGGAGGCCATGTTGGCCGTCTTGGAGGCCTCTTGGGCCCTCGTGGGCCGTCTGGGGGGCCTCTTGGGCCGTCATGGGGCCATCTTGGAGGCCTCGTGGGCGATCTTGGGGGCCTCTTGGGCCGTCTTGAGCCGTCGGAATGCCGAAAAGAAGCAAATGCCAACATCCTTCAAATACCGACGAAAAATCAAGGATTTTGGCCCCCTCCTGGAGGTCCTCTTGGAGGCCTCTTGGGCTGTCTTGGAGGCCTCTCGGGGGCCTCTTGAGCCGTCTTAGCCCATCTGGAGGCCATCTCAGGCCGTCTTGGGTGCATCTTGGGCCGTATTGGAGGCATTTTGGGGCCGTCTTAGCTGTCTTCGAAGCATCTTGGGCGTCTTGGAGGCCTCTTGGGCCGGCTCGGGGCCCTGTTGGGGGCGTCTTGGGGGCCTCTTGGGCCGTCATGGGGCTATCTTGGAGATGTCTTGGGCGATCTTGGGGGCCGTTTTGGGCCGTCGGAAAGCCGAAAAGGCGAAAATTCCCACATCTGTCAAGAACCTGAGAGGAATCTATGATTTTGGCCTCTTCGGGCCTTACCCGAGGATCTCTTGGAGGCCTCTTGGGCTGTCTTGGAGACCACTTAGGGGGCTCTTGGGCCGACTTGGGCCATCTTGAGGCTATCTTAGGCCGTCCTGGGTGCATCTTGGGCCGTCTTGGAGGCATTTTGGGGCCATCTTAGCTTTCTCGGAGGCCGTCTTGGCCGTCTTGGAGGCATCTTGGAGGCCGTCTTGGGCCATCTTGATCGAAACATTAGGGGATTGAGGTCCTGGGCAATCTTTCCGGGACCCCGGCGGGACGGGCCGAAGACCCAGGGGGAGTTCTTGTGGAAAAAGAAAACAAGCCGACATGATTCAGCACGCCAGGCACCCGTGTGATGAATCAACAGGGAGCGGCGGATCGAAGACGCCTACGGCGAATCACCGCCGCCCCCTGCCTTTTGGAAGCGCCTATGTGGCCAAACGTTGAGGCCAGACCTGCCAAGCTATCGGACCATGTGTTCCCCGAATCGGTTTGGAAAGCCTTCGGGGAACACGTGGGCATCTTGAAGGTCATCTTGGCCGTCTGGAGGCCATTTTGACCCTTTCGGGCCTTCTTGGAGGACGTCTTGGAGGGCTCTTGGGCCGTCTTGGAGGCCTCTTGGGGCCGTGTTTTGGGCGATCTTTGGGGGCATTTGGGCCGTCTCGGGCCGTCGGAAGGCAGAACAAAAAACAAATGCCACAATCCTTCAAAAACCCATGGGAAATCATTGATTTTGGCCTTTTCGGGCCTTCTGGAGGCCCTCTTGGAGGCCTCTTGAGCCGTCTTGGGCCATCTTAGGGCCATGTTCGGCCGTCTTGGTGGGCTCCTGGTCCGTCTGACGCCGTCGGAAGCCGTTTGGGGGGTCTCTATGGGCCGACTTGGGGCTCTCTTGGAATGCTCCAGGGCCGTCTTGTAGGCCCATCTTTTGGCGTCTTAAAGGCATCCTGTGCCATCTTGGGAGCCTTTTGGGGCCGTCTTGGGGCCTTCTTGGGCCGTTCTGGGGCCATCTTGGAGGCCTCTTGGGCGATCCTTCGGCGATCTTCGGGGGCTCTTGGACCGTCTCGGGCCGTCGGAAGGCCGAAAGGAAGCAAATGTCGAAATCAGTCAAAAACCTGGGGAACATCAAGGTTTTGGGCCTCTTCTGGCCTTCCCGGGGGCCCTCTAGGGGACCTCTTGGGCCGTCTTGGGCCAATTTCGAGACAACTTCGGCCATCTTGGTGGGTTTCTGGCACGTCTGACGCCGTCGGGAGCCGTCTTGGGGGCCTTTCTGGGCCGACTTGGGGCCCTCTTGGGGCGCTTCGGGGCCGTCTTGGAGGCCATCTTGGGCGTCTTGGAGGCTATCTTGGCCGCTTTGGAGGCCTCTTGGGCCGTCTTGGGGCCCTCTTTGGGCCGTCTTGGAGGCCACTTGGGCCGTCATGGGGCCCTTCGGGGGCCTCTTGGGCGATCTTGGTGGCCTCTTGGGCCGTTTTGGGCCGTCGGAAAACCGAAAAGGCGCAAATGCCAAAATCCTTAAAAAACCTAAGGACAATCAATGATTTTGGCCCTTTCGGGCCTTCCTGGAGGACGTCTTGGAGGGCTCTTGGGCCGTCTTGGAGGCCTCTTGCGGGCCTGTTGGGCTATCTGAGGCCGTCTTGGGTACATCTTGGGCCGTCTTGGAGGCATCTTGGGGCCATTTGAGCCGTCTTGGAGGCCATCTTGGGCCGTCTTGGAGACGTCTTGGAGACCATCCTGGGCCACCTTGGCCGTCTTGGACGCCATCTTGAGCCGTCTTGGAAGATTTTTTGTGGACGTTGGGGTCCTGGACAATCCTCCCGGGACCCCGGCGGGACGGGCCGAAGCGCCAGGGGGAGTTCTTTTGGAAAAATAACCAAAACCAAACCGAAAGGATCCAGCACGCCAGGCACCCTTGCGATGAATCGACAGGGGGCGGCGGATCTCATGGTCTTTGGCCCATCCCGCCACCGTGCGTTGGTTGTGGGTCACAGGCCTCTTGGATGTTCGTTGGGATGTCGTGGGGCTGCAAGCCGATAAGGGGATCGGAGAGTCTCAGCACATTAGCGGAGCGCTCCGCTAATGGGAGCGAAGCGATGGAAATTCGCTGGTTTGGGTCAATTTGCAGAGCGTTGCTCCGCTAATGGGGGCGATGCGATCCTAATGCTTCGGTTCGGAGCCAATTGACGGAGCGGCGCTCCGCTGACTGGGGCCAGGCAGTCGGAATCTTTCGGTTTGAGGTCAATTGGCAGAGCACCGCTCCGCACAAGTGGGCGCGACAAAACCCAAGAGCCTTTGGGATCCAGACCCCTAAAAGAATCCCCAGGCTTGGGGACGGAGGTTCGAGGCATTGAGCAAGGGACTGGGAGGACACTTCACTTCGTGCCTCAAAGGCACGGTGGCAGGTAAGAAGAGGGGTGGCCTCTTACAAGGGTCCTGGGCCGCTTCTAAGAAGTCTTCGTAGAAGCCAGGCGGCTTCCTAAGAACCCCCCCCTGCCTTCTTCGAAGCCCCGCCGCCTTCTCAGAAGCCCCACCACTCTCGCGCCAACCCCCTTGTGCTCGCCGCCAACCGCCGCCGCTGCAGGCGACGGGGGGCGCGGAGCACGGCAGGGATCGCATCGCGGGCGGACCAACGTGTCTCGGCCCTCGGCGCGAGGGGAGCGGTTCCAGGCACGCTCGCGCTGCGACAAAATAGCGACGGGGGGTTCTTGGATGTTTTCGGCTTCCTGGGGGCCTTCGACCGGCCCCGGGGCCGTGAACAAACGACTCGGGATGAACAGCCAGCCCTGGGGAAAGGGTGGGATCTCGGGGAGCCCGTATGGAATCAATCAAGGTGTGCATCGGATTTCTGGGAGCGGAGTCTGCACAGGGCGCGGTTCCCTTGCGGTTGCCCTTCTCCGCCATGCCCTCACAGGAGGGGTCTCCAGCGAGCGGGGCAGGAGGCTCCTCCTGCTCCTCCTCCTGGCTGGCGCGGCGCTGCCGTCTTCGATGCTCCAATTGTTGGCCCTCTGTCCTGGCTCCCTTCCTCGGCTGCGGTTTGTCGCTATTCTTTAGCACCTTCATCGCCTCTTGCAGATTCAACGGGGAGGGGCAGGCGGCTGAATGCCCTCGGACTCCGAGGCGGCGGAGTTCGACGGCGCTGCGCGTCTCGTAGCTGGCTTCCAGCACAGTGCGGAGGTTCGACGATGATTGTGGATGGAGCTTTCTTCGGGACGCTCGGCCCCCTCCTCCTCTTTCTCCTTCTGTTCTTAGTTTTTTATTTGTTATTCTGCTTCTTCTTCGTTTTTTTTTCTTCTGTTTTTTTTGTTTGTTTTTTGTCGGAGGCGACGATGTTGGCGGCTAGCCCAGGAGGGAGCAATCACCACGAGAAGAAACTCCCCCCCTTCTCGGCGAAACTATGTCGCTGCTCGCCCCTTGGAAGTGATCCCCCTTCCCCCGACCTCTCTGGTATCTTCGGATTACTTTGGATTTCTCCAGGGCTCGAATCGGATTCCAATTGGATTATACCAAGGTTCCAAATTCATTCCACTCGGATTATTAAGCGCCCCAATGAAACCCCAATAAGATCCCAATCAGATTTCTACAGGATCCCAATCAAATTCTCATAGGGTCCCACGCAGGTCCCAATCGGATTCCAATCGGACGCCAAACGGGCTCCAACAACTAGTATCGAAAGCGGACCCCACGAGGATTTCAAAAGGATTCGTTGCTACCCTGCAGTTGTTTCGCAGTTCTGGTGCTAGCATGGCGCGGTCGGTGCAGTGGGGGGTATTCCCTGGCGTGGTCTACTCCTTCGAGCAGCAGAAAACAATTTCTTGGTTGAGGGTTTCATTTGGAGTTTTCATATCTTAAACCTCTTCCCTCTGCCTCCATTTTTTGTTTTCTTTTCTCTCTCCATCCCTCCATGTCTCTCTCTCTCTCTCTGTACCTCTATCTCTCTCTCTCTCTCTCTCTTTCTATATATATATATATCTACATATATAAAGAAATATTTATATACATTTCAGAGTGAGGGGCCGAACGGTCATTCATTCTCCCTGGGTGCGTGGCTGAAGTGTCGGTCCGTGGTGAGGATTCTGCTTGTTGCGTTGTTGTTGCCTGTTGTTGTTGTTGCTGTTGCTGTTGCTGTTGCTATCGCTGCTGCTCTTGTTGTTGTTGTTGTGGTTGTTGTTGTTGTTGTTGTTGGTGTTGTTGTTGTTGTTGTTGTTGTTGTTGTTGTTGTTGTTCTTGTTATTGTTGTTGTTGTTGTTGTTGTTGTTGTTGTTGTTGTTGTTGTTGTTGTTGTTGTTGTTGAATTCTCATGTGTGAAGAAAATTATTGTTGATCCCCCTTCGGTGCACATTGTATTTTTCAATTGAAGTGCCCCTCCCGGCGCTCGCACCCTGTTCTTTATTTGGGAAAGTCTTTAGGCTCAAATTGTGCCCCTGGCCTCCGGGTTACAACAACAACGGCTCCCGCTTGAGACTTCCTCACATTTTAGGCAGGACCCCCGCTTCCGCCAGAGACTTCTTCGCATTTTATTCAGGAGTTGCGCTCTCGCTTGGGGCTTCCTTACAATCTATTCAGGAATCGCTCTCTCGGCGCTCTGGAGTCGCGCTCTCGCTGGAGACTTGCTTGCAATTTATTGAAAAATAGCGCCCTTGCGTTGGAAATTACAGCAATTTACTGAAGCGCCGCGCTCCCGACACTCAGGCACCCAGGAATCGCGCTCACGCTTAGGACTCCCTCGCAGATTATTTGGGAATCGGGATCTCGCTGCCCTTCGTGGCCCCCTCGCTGCCCTTCGTGGACCCGTTGCAGTCCTTCGTGGCCCCTTCGCTGCCCTTCGTGGCCTCCCGTTGCAGCCCTTCGTGGCCCCCTCGCTGCCATTCGTGGCCCCATATATGTATGCCCTTTGTGGCCTCCGCTTGTTCGCGCCCGTCGTGGTCCCATATGCATGCCCTTCGTGGCCCCGCTGTCGCCCTTTGTGGCCCACTCGCTGCCCTTCGTGGCCCCGTTGCTGCTCTCAGTGACCCCGTCCTTGCCCTCCGCGGCCCAATATACGTATGCCCTTCGTGGCCCCCGCTCGTTCGCGCCCGTCGTGGCCCCATGTGCATTCCCTTCGTGGCCCCGCTGTCGCCCTTCGTGGCCCACTCGCTCTCCTGCGTGGCCCAGTTGCTACCCTCAGTGGCCCCGTCGTTGCCTTCAGTGGCCTCGCATTATCTGCCCTTCGCGGCCCCCGCTTTTTCGCGCTCTTCGTGCCCCCATACGCATTCCCTTCGTGTCCCCGCTGTCGCCCTTCGTGGCCTACTTCGTGCCCTTCGTGGCCCTGCTATCGTTCTCTCTCTCGCTCTCGCTTTCGCTCGTCGTCGTCGTCGTCGTCGTCTGTCGTCGCCGTCGTCGTCGTCGTCGTCGTCGTGGTCGGTCCCCTGTCCGTCCCTTTTGGGGTCGGACTGCCGCCGATCAGCGCTGCCGCTGGCCAGGCCGACGGTCCGCGGCCGCCCCGCCGCTTGCCGGGGCCTGGCCTGCAGGGAAGAAAAGTATACCCCCCGAAAGGGGTACGATCGAATACGAAGAGGGCGAGTATCGAGGGTCGCCGGGAAATACGCGTCAACGGACACTCGAGCAGACAAGAGCGAACAGTCTTAAACTGATTGTTGTTGTTGTTGTTGTCGTTGTTGATTTCTCATTCCTGAATAATTAATGTTGATCCCCCCGCCGGTGCATATTTTTTTCTCAATCAAAGTGTGCCCCTCGACGCTCGCACCTTGTTTTTTGACAGGGAAAATCTTCGTGCTCAAACTGGGCCCCTGGCCCCTGGGTTACACAACGGCTCCCGCCTGAGACTTCCTTACAATTTAGCCAGGACCCCCGCTCCCGCCCGAGACTTCCTCGCATTTTATTCAGGAATCGCGCTCTCGCTTGAGACTTCCTTGCGATTTATTCAGGAATCGCTTTCCCGGCGCTCTGGAGTCGCGCTCTCGCTGGAGACTTGTTTGCAACTTGCTGAAGAATGGCCTTGTGTTGAAGTTTTTTTTGCAATTTGCCCAAGCGCCGCGCTCCTGACACCCAGGCACCCAGGAGTCGCGCCCTTTGTGGCCCCATGTGCATGCCCTTCGTGGCCCCGCTGTCGCCATTTGTGTCCCCCTCACTGTCCTACGTGGCCCCGTTGCTACCCTCATTGGCCCCATAGTTGCCTTCTGTGGCCCCGCATTATCTGCCCTTCGTGGCCCCCGCTCGTTCGCGCTCTTCGTGGCCCCATACGCATTCCCTTCGTGTCCCCACTGTCGCCCTTCGTGACCTACTTCGTGCCCTTCGTGGCCCTGCTGTCGTTCTCTCTCGCTCTCGCTTTCGCTCGTCGTCGCCGCCGCCGTCGTCGTCGTCGTCATCGTCGTCGTCGTCGCCGTCGTCTTCGACGTCGTCGTCGTCGTCGTCGTCGTCGTCGTCGTCGTCGTGGTCGGTCCCCTGTCCGTCCCTTTTGGGGTCGGGTCGACGGTCCGCGGCCGCCCCGCCGATCAGCGCTGCCGCTGGCCAGGCCGACAGTCCGCGGCCGCCCCGCCGCTTGCTGGGGCCCGGCCTGCAGGGAAGAAAGGTATACCCCCCAAAAGGGGTTCGATCGAAGACGAACAGGGCGGGTGTCGAGCGTCTGGGAAATACGCGTTATTGGACACTCGAGCATATAAGGGCGAACGGTCTTAAAATTATTGTTGCTGTTGAACATTATTAATTCTAAAGAATAATTATTGTTGGGCCCCCTGGTGCGCGCCCCCCCTGCGCCGCCTAGGCCGCAGCTACATTTTCATCATTTTCGTGAGGAAGCCTCAGGTAATACGATGTCATCAAGATCCGGTTGTTTTGTTGTAATCCGTTTTCCCTTGCAAAAAACACTATAAAATGACATTTCTTGTTCTAATATAATCAAATTTCAAGAATCCCTTGCAAAAAATAAGGTAAAGTGGACATTCGCGCGCGCAAGACGAAATCCTTCCAAAAGCTTAGTGTTCGGAGCGATTTTAACATAAAAACATCAAAAAACCAATGGTTTTTCAACAAAAAAATGTCAAAATCTCATCCCGCGCGCTCTTGCGGATTCGTAGGAAACCCAACACTTTTTAAACATTTCTGTCAAACGGGCTTTTGCGAGCAACTTTTTCGAACTTCTGCGACAACGGTTGCGCACCTGCCAGGGCCATCATCCCTGTCAAATAATACCATCCGCGCATGTGCCCAGCATGGCACAATTGCACCATGCTGGGCACATGCGCGCCCCGAATAAGTGACCAAGTTCTGTGGGTGTGTACCCCACGCCAGTGTAGTAGCCACGGTCGTCCGCACGCCACGAAGTGAAGTGTCCCAACGTCATAGGGCGGGAAGCTGGGTTTGGGTGGTCGCGAAGAGTCGTTTGGATATTTGGTAGAGCTTGTAATGCCCCCCCACGAAGTGGGGGTATTGCCTGGTGTCGTATGAAAACCCTGGCACTGGGGAGAACACCACGCGTTCGGGTAAAATGATTGTTGTTGTTGTTGTTGTTGTTGTTGCTGTTATTGAATTCCCATTCCGGAGGAATATTTATTGTTGATCCCCTTCACCGGTGCATCTTGTTTTTTCTGAATCAAAATGTGCCCCTCGAAGCTCGCACCCTGTTTTTTGACAGGGAAAATCTTCCTGCTCAAACTGTACCCCTGGCCCCCAGATAATAACAACAACGGTTCCCGTTTGAGACTTCCTCCAAATTTACTCAGGACCCCCGCTCCCGCCTGAGACGTCCGCACGATTTACTCAGGATCGGTGCTCCCGCTAATGACTTCCTCGCAATGTAGTCAGGACCCCCGCTCCCATCTGAGACTTCCTCACAATTTACTCAGGACCAGCGCTCCCGCTTGAGACTTCGTCGGAATTGAATCAAGACTTCCTCGCAATTCAATCAAGACCCCCGCTCCCGCCAAAGAGCCCCCCACATTTTACCATTCTATTTAGGAATTGCGTTGTCGCCTGTGACCTCCATGCAGTTCATTCAGACATCGCGCTTTCGACGCTCAGGAAACACGCTGCGCCAAGGACAACGTCACAATTTATTTAGGAATCGCGCTTTCGCCATAATCAGGCATCCCGCTTGAATGTCCCACCCGCCTGGCCCGCCCGTCAGGGGATCGCCCGCTTTCGTGGGCTCCCGCCCGAGACTTCCTTCAGGAACGGCGCTTTCGCCTAGGACTTACTCGAACGTTCACGCTCTTCCTTTCCTGCTCCCTCTCCCTCCTTCCTCCTCCCTCCTCTCCTCCCTTCTCTCTTCCTCCTCTCTTCCCTCATCCTTATGCCTCTCTGCCCTATCCCCTCTCCCTCCTCTCCCTCCTCCCTTCTCCCTCCCCTCTCCTACCTCCTCCCTCACTCTTTCTTTCTCTCTCTTTCCCCTTTCTCTCTCTTTCTCTACCTCTCTTATCTGTTTCTCTCTCCCTCTCTCTTTCCCTTTATTTCTCTGCCTCAAATCAACCGCCCCCCTCTTCGCTCCTTCTCTCCTGGCGTTTTCCCTCTTCCTTCGTCCCTCCTTTTCCCTTCCTCCCACTCTCCCTCGTTCTCCCCCTCCTTTTTTTGCAGGGCTCACACCAGTTCCAATGGCGCGCGCAAGTACGCCCACGAAGGATTGTCCGCCCGTTCAGGTTTGCCCGCCTGTCTAGGCCCGCCGCCCCCCGCAAAGAGAAAGAATTCCCCCCCAAAAGGGGGTGTGATCGAAGACAAAAATGGCGGGTATCGAGGGTGTGTGAAACTCGTTTTGAATGACACACGGGCAGGTAAGAGCGAACAATATGATAATGATTGTTGTTGAACATTATTACTTCTAAAGAATAATTATTGTTGGGGCCCCTGGTGCACGGCCCCCTCGCCGCGCCTAGGCCGCAGCCACGTTTTCATCATTTTCGTGAGGAAGTCTCAGGCAAAACGATGTGATCCAGATCCGGTTGTGTTGTTACGATCGGTTTTCCCTTGCAAAAAATAAGCTAAAGTGGACATTTCTTGTTCTAACATAACCAAACTTCAAGAATCCCTTGCAAAAAATAAGGTAAAGTGGACATTCGCGCGCGCAAGACGAAATCCTTCCAAAACCTTAGTGTTCGTAGCGATTTTAACATAAAAACATCAAAAAACCAATGGTTTTTCAAAAAAAAATGTCAAAATTTCATCCCGCGCGCTCTTGCGGATTCGTAGGAAACCCAACACTTTTTAAACATTTCTGTCAAACGGGCTTTTGCGAGCAACTTTTTCGAACTTCTGCAACAACGGTTGCGCACCTGCCAGGGCCATCATCCCTGTCAAATAATACCATGCGGGACACATTCGTTTTTTCTTCGCGCGCGCACGCCGTCGTCGTCGGCCGCGGGGCCCTGAATAGTAGCCACGGTCGTCCGCATGCCACGAAGTGAAGTGTCCGAACGTCATAGGGCGGGAAGCTGGGTGTGGGTGGTGGCGAAGAGTCGTTTGGAAATTTGGTAGAGCTTGAACCGGCCCCCCCACAAAGTGGGGGTATTGCCCGCCTCCTATGAAAACCCTGGCACTGGTGAGAACGGAGTGTCCCCACGTGCTAGTAATTGTTGTTGTTGTTGTTGTCGTCGTCGTCGTCGTCGTCGTCGTCGTCGTCGTTGAATTCTCACTTCTGAAGAATAATTATTGTTGATCCCCCCCCGCCGGCGCATTTTTTTCTCAATCAAAGTGTGCCCCTCGACGCTCGCACCTTGTTTTTTGACGGGGAAAGTCTTCCTGCTCAAACTGGCCCCCTGGCCCCCGGGTTACAACAACAACGGCTCCCGCCTGAGACTTCCTTACAATTGGGGCAGGACCCCCGCTCCCGCCCGAAATTTCATCGCATTTTATTCAGGAGTCGCGCTCTCGCTTGAGACTTCCTTACAATTTGTTAGGGAATCGCTCTCCCGGAGCTCTGGAATCGCGCTCCCGCTGGAGACTTGCTTGCAACTTACTGAAGAATAGCCTTGCGTTGGAATTTCTTGCAATTTGCCCGAGCCCCGCGCTCCCGACACCCGGCACCCAGAAGTCGCGCCCGTTGTGGCACCATGTGCATGCCCTTCGTGGCCCCGCTGTCGCCATTTGTGTCCCCCTCATTGTCCTACGTGGCCCAGTTGCTACCCTCAGTGGCCCCATAGTTGCTTTTTGTGGCCCCGCATTATCTGCACTTCGTGGCCCCCGCTCGTTCGCACTCTTCGTGGCCCCATACGCATTCCCTTCGTGTCCCCGCTGTCTTCCTTCGTGGCCTACTTCGTGTACTTCGTGCCCTTCGTGGCCCTGCTGTCGTTCTCTCTCGCTCTCGCTTTCGCTCGTCGTCGCCGTCGTCGTCGTCGTCGTCGTCGTCGTCGTCGTCGTCGTCGTCGTCGTCGTCGTCGTGGTCGGTCCCCTGTCCGTCCACAAGGGGTTCGATCGAAAACGAAGAGGGCGGGTATCGAGGGTTTGGGAAATACGCGTTATTGGACACTCGAGCATATAAGGGCGAACGACCTTAAACTGATTGTTGTTGTTGTTGTTGCTGCTGCTGCTGTTGTTGTTGTTGTTGTTGTTGTTGTTGTTGTTGTTGTTGTTGTTGAACATTATTACTTCTAAAGAATAATTATTGTTGGGGCCCCTGGTGCATGGCCCCCCCGCCGCGCCCAGGCCGCAGCCTCATTTTCATCATTTTCGTGAGGAAGTCTCAGGCAAAACGGGTTGGTCCGGATCCGGTTGTGTTGTTACGATCGGTTTTCCCTTGCAAAAAATAAGCTAAAGTGGACATTTCTTGTTCTAACATAACCAAACTTCAAGAATCCCTTGCAAAAAATAAGGTAAAGTGGACATTCGCGCGCGCAAGACGAAATCCTTCCAAAACCTTAGTTTTCGTAGCGATTTTAATATACAAACATCAAAAAACTAATGGTTTTTTCAAAAAAATGTCAAAATTTCATCCCGCGCGCTCTTGCGGATTCGTAGGAAACCCAAAACTTTTTAAACATTTCTGTCAAACGGGCTTTTGCGAGCAACTTTTTCGAACTTCTGCAACAACGGTTGCGCACCTGCCAGGGCCATCATCCCTGTCAAATAATACCATGCGGGACACATTCGTTTTTTCTTCGCGCGCGCACGCCGTCGTCGTCGGCCGCGGGGCCCTGAATAGTAGCCACGGTCGTCCGCATGCCACGAAGTGAAGTGTCCGAACGTCATAGGGCGGGAAGCTGGGTGTGGGTGGTGGCGAAGAGTCGTTTGGAAATTTGGTAGAGCTTGAACCGGCCCCCCCACAAAGTGGGGGTATTGCCCGCCTCCTATGAAAACCCTGGCACTGGTGAGAACGGAGTGTCCCCACGTGCTAGTTGTTGTTGTTGTTGTTGTTGTTGTTGTTGTTGTTGTTGTTGTTGTTGTTGTTGTTGTTGTTGTTGTTGTTTGTTGTCGTCGTCCCACCCGCGACCCACCCGAGACCCACCCCGCGACCCACCCCGCAACCCACCCCGCGACCCAACCCGCGACCCACCCGCGACCCAACCTGCGACCCACCCGCGACCCACCCCGCGACCCACCCGCGACCCACCCGCGACCCACCCGCGACCCAACCCGCGACCCACCCCCCGCGACCCACCCGCGACCCATCCGCGACCCACCCGCGACCCACCCGAGACCCACTTGCGACCCGCCTGCGACCGCGACCCATCCGCGACCCACCCGCGACCCACCCGAGACCCACTTGCGACCCACCTGCGACCGCGACCCACCCGCGATCCTCCTGCGACCCATCAGCGACCCAACAGCGACCCACCCGCGACCCACACGCGACCAATTTGCGACCCACCCGTGACGCATCCGCGACCCACCCACGTTGGTTTAGCGAAAAATCGGCGCCTGCGGCGGGCTCGTTGCATAATTTGTGAAGCGTTGGCGCCCGCGGCGGGCTTCTCCAGAGTTTCGCAAACTGCCGACGTCCCCACCGCCCCCTCACTCTTATCCGCATCTGAGGGGTGCTACGTGTTTGTTATTTCTTGTTTGTCATTCTCTCCTCCCCGTCTCGCTCTCATTCTCGCTTTCCGTTCTCTCTTCTACTCTGAAAGGCTCCCACCGCCCCCCTCCCCCGCGGGATGGTTTTAATTCATCAAGTTGCCAGGTTGCTAGACGATATCGGTCGGCGGTTTCCCCTTCGGAAATCCATTAATGCTTTTGGGTTCTACGGATAACGCCCGGGAGGTGGATAATTGTTAATTGCTGTTGCGTGTGTCGATGGGCGCAGGATGTCCATATCTTCAGCGAGGCTCCTCGGCGAGTGCGTGTAATGCCCGCCCCTGGAGTGCCCTGGCCCACCAGCCGTGCTCTCATATTTGCGCATGGCGGATGATTTTCCTCTTGCGGCGCAACCAGCGATAAGCTGTGGAGAAAGAGAGCGTCGGCGCCGCCAAACGCGCGTCGTGTGGACAAGCTGCTTGCAGCAGCAGGGGGGACTAGAAATGTATTCATTCTGGGTGCGACCTATGTGTGGCGAGGGTTGTTGGGGGCCGCGAGACAACGCGCGACCTGCCTGTGGCAGCTCCTAACCGACCTCCCCTCCCTCGTAAACTCTGAACAGCGGCGGGCCCGGGTGCCGCGGATCTGATTTATCTCGGTCCCCCGCTTCAGTTGAATGATAACTTGGAGTCGGGGTACAAAGCCGATCCCTGTGAAAAGGCCCACAGGCATGTGCGCCGTGGCCTCACTGTTCCTGCACGGGAGGGCTCGGGCAGGCGCCGTTGCACACGCCATGCCAGTACCTTTCGCTGGGTTGTGTTGTCCTTTCTGTCTGCTCGTGTGGGGCCGCGTTCGAGCGCTGGTTGACGGCTGGCTTGCGGACGCTCGAGCCTATCGTTTTTTTTTGTTTCCTTTATCTTTTCCGCAGTTGGTACAGGGTGGTGTTGGGGTGTACCTTCGGGTGCTCCGCCCGCCGTGCACAGTGTTACGGGATGTGCCTACGGGGGCTTCGGCCACTTACGTGGACAGACTTGTTGCCCCCCCCTTCTCCTCCCCCGTGCTCCTTCTCCTCCTCCTCCTGCTCTTTTTCCTTATGAGTAGCTCCTCGCTGTCGCACCCCTAGGCAAGTCGAAAGGGCGGGCACGGCGTTTCGCTTGAGACTTCCTCACAATGTATGGCCCTGAAGCTTGACATTTGTAAGAGTTTCGCTGATGGAGGGCGGGCCGGCTTTCAAATTGTTGCTGTGGCCTTAGCGCCGCGCGCATTCGTTTTAAACATCAGCAGGAGTTCCACGGGTTGAGGGTGGCCCGTTTTCAAAATGTGGCTCTCGCCTCAGCGCCGCGCGTATTCGTTTTAAACATGTGCGTTATGCTGGCAGTTGTCTTGCCCGCGCGCGCCAGGAGGGCATGGCGAGTCGCCTGCCTGCTGACGCTCGAAGAAGCGTGTGCGTGTGTGTCTTCTTGCTCGGGCTTTAGAGAGACGCGCGCTCCCGCCCTCTCTGCTCTGACCTTGCTACGCCCTATCGCTGCGTGCGGGGCCGCGACGCCAGACAAGTGTGTGTGTGTGTGTGTGTGTGTGTGTGCGTGTGTCCCCTGTTGCCATTCCGCTGGAACAGTCGCCCTCTGCCCAGCCGCCGACGCAACATTATATATATGTATATATGTATATATATATATATAGATATATATATATATATATATATATATATATATATATAGCTATGTGTGTGTGCGTGTGTGTGTGTGTGTGTGTGTTTGTGTGTATGCGTGTGTGTGTGTGTGTGTGTTTGTGTGCTTGTGTGTTTGTGTGTTTGTGTGTTTGTGTGTGTGTGTGTGTGTGTGTGTATGTCTGCGTGCGTACGTGCGTGCGTGCGCACGTGCGTGCGAGCGTGGGTGCGTGCGTGCGTACGTGCGTGCGTGCGTGCGTGTGCTTGTGCGTGTGTGCGTGTGCCAACGCAGGGGCACAGGGTGCACCCGAGCCTGCGCGCCCACACGTGCTCAGGCGCGCATGTGCAGCTTTCGCGCCGCCTTCCTACGCGGGCGTGCTGCGCAGCAGGGCCAGACATCCAATGTCTTGATTTGTTCACTGCGGGGTCCCCAGAAGTGTCTACCCTGGTGTCTACCCTTTCCCTAGGTCAATTTTTTCACTCCGAGTCGTTTCTCGACGGACCCAGGGCCCAGTGAGGGCCCCCAGGAGGCCGAAAATGGCCAAAATCCTTCCATTGTGTTTTCTTTCGCGCCGCCGCCTTCCTTCGGCTACGCGCGCGAGTGACCCTTTGCCAGAGTGACCCTTGGCGCGGGCCCACAGGGGTCCCGCCAGCATTGGCTGGCGATCTCGGATTGCGTTAATCTGGCATGATCTGCGGCTCCCGAAAGCCGCGCACGAACGGCCGCTCTTGCCCCAGTCGAAACCGATGATAGGGATAGGTCCGAAAGCTGCGCACGAATGGACACTTTTGCCTACAGTCGAAACCGATGATAGGGATGGGTAACCTCCTCAAGGGTACCCTTGCATCTTTGCCTCTTCGGTCCATCTTTACCCACTTTCGATGGCCAGCCCCGCTCGAAACGCTTCGACATGGGCGTCCAAAGGGGCTTGCATCCTCATCGCGCATCCTTGCTATGAGTTTAATTCTGACCGTGGGGTCACTCCTGCGTGCACTTTTGTCGGCCACGCGCAGGGGTGCAGGGGGAGGGGGGAATTCCCCTTAGAAGGAGATTGCTTCTCAGAAGGCGCGGGCACAATCTACAGATGCAAGGCTGGCGCCTTCCGAGAAGCATCCTCCTCTCAAGAAGCCTTCCCCCCTCTGTCTCCCCCACTGCGCACTGCCGCGGCCGCGGGCTTCGGCTCCACGGAGGGCGGGCGGCGCGCAGGGATGGCTTCTCGTCGCCCTTTTCCTGCTCCTCCTCCTCCTCCTCCTCCTCCTCTTCCGCGGCCCCCCAGAGCCGCGCACGAACGGCGGGGGTCACTCCTGCGAGCAGCCGATGCCTCCACGCCCTGCCCGCGCGCTGCGTCCGCGCCCCTCCGAAGGCCGCGCGGGCGCGGGCGGCCTCGCCCGCGGGATGGCGGCCCGAGACCGCGAGCCGGGCCTTCCGCCAGCGAGGCCCTTCTCGCGCCCTCGGAAGCGGCAGCGGGACGCCGGACGCGTGGCGGGCAAATGGCACCGAGGAGGAGGAGGAGGAGGAGGAGGAGGAGGAGGAGGAGGAGGGCTCTGAGGGCTCTGATGATACGAACCGCTCCTGCAGTCCCTGGCCGCGCGATGCTCAACCCGGAGGGGGGGAAGAGCCACCCACGCACCAGGCGACGCGCCAATCACGCCGAGCCAACAAGGCCCAGCCACGAGGAGCCGCACAAGGCCCCGGGCACCAAAGGGCCAAGCCAACCCTACCACGTCCCAGGGATCGGAGGGCACCAACTATACACCAACACCGATCCTGGCCAGGATCGGTGTTGGTGTATAGTTGGTGCCCTCCTAAGGGAGGAACGTGGTGCGGCTGGAGCCGTGCGCGGAAGGATCCCCTCCCCCACGCCCCCGACCCCAGGTCACACCGAAACGATCTTGCACAGGGAACCGCTGGAGAACCTCAGCCAATTCCGGTCGCTGCCGTCTTCACGCAGAGTGCTCCACGCTTCCGCGGCTCCACGCGGCATGCTGCGTGTGTCTCCGACCTCGGCCTCTACGATTCCGCCTCCAGCATCCGGCGTCCCACTCCCACGTCCACCAATCGGCCTCCAGCGCCCACCATCCACATGTCTACCTCCACCTGTCGACTCCCAGCTTCCACCAACCCAGCATTCCGATCATCAACCTCCAATATCCGACCTTTTACTCTCATCTCCACCCTCCGACGGGAATTTACATCCGCGGCCGGAACAGCATTTACAATTGCAACAACACCGACTACCTCAACCCAGCATCGGCGGCGGACGAGGACGATACAGCCACTCAGAAGGCGACGTACCATGGGACCTGCGACCGACGCGTTCTTTCCAGCAGCAGCCGACGCTGACCACACAGCATCCGACGGCGACCATCACAGCACACACCCATTGCAGCCTCCCAACAAACCACAACCACGACTCCACGACGCAGTAACGACGATGGGAACTTCACGGTCATACATAGAAACGCCCGGAGCCTCACGAACGACACAGCGATCGACCTTTTTGTGCAAGAGCTTTCAGACATACGATGGGACGTTGTGGCGCTCAATGAGACATGGCGGACAGAAAAACGCTAGTATTGGGTCATTGGGCCTGGCGCGCACATATTCGCAGCTTCTGGACATGACTGTCCGACGCGAGGCGTTGCATTCTTAGTTCTTAAACGACATGCACGACGCATACGAAGAGTCAAAGCTGCCAACGAGCGGGTCGCCTACATCGACGTCGGCTTCCCGCAACAACCGCTCCGAATCGTCACGGCTTACTTCTCGCACGGAGGGTACGGCCGGCGACCAACACGTGCAATGTATGTGCGACGTACTTACAGAGATACACGCCGACGCCCACCAACAACACCGGACGACCATCATCACAGGAGACTTCAACGCACGAGTTGGCAAACGGAGCGACGACGACGACTACTCCAGCACTCGCAGGGCAGAAAAACGTACTATCAGCAACCACGGGCAGAGCGGGTACAACCAGCGCGGCGCTTGGCTACGATCGTGGGCGGGCGTGCGCAAATTCGCAATCACGACCACGATGTTTTGCAAGCATTTTGACAACGTCGTCACGTACACGAGCGCTGGCACCAACCACAAGCAAACGCATATCGACTACATTCTTATGGATCAGCGGGCCGGGCATTTGGTTCTGGATTCATTCGCCACGACGTGCCCCGACCTCGGCTCCGACCACCAAGCCGTGCACCTCCGACTATCACAGGACGACGCGACACCCCGAGCACGACGAAGGAAACGACGACAGACACGCAGGCACCAAAAACCTCCCGACCAAACGACCCCGACTTCCAAAACCATTTGACGAGACATCTCGCTACCAACAACCCACCAAAGGGCACACGAGACACCGCTGCACACATCGAGCAAGCACTTGTAGCAGCCCAGAGAGACTACCAGCAATAGCAAGACCAACAGCAACAACTTCCACAAAACACAGCTAGCAGGGACGACGTGGCGAAGCAACAACTGCACGCACTTATGACGCAACGCAGAAATACACCGCACACCGACACAGCCACCAGAACAGCTCTTAGCAAATGTATTCTACGTGCACGCCGGGCGGGACATCAAAAAGGGTTCAGCGACAGGCAACCCTGCACGACATCATCGTTAGTTTCCGCGGCCTGAACGGATCTCAGGGATCAAGCCCAGCGAGAAGAGGGACCTCATACCGGCCATGACAACAGCAAAGGGCTCCAACGAGACG